CTGTGGCTAGGTTATACCCCTAAGCATTTTTTTGTTTGTTTTTTGTTGCTTTTGAGACAGGATTTCAATTGCCCACACTGGCCTCAAATTTGAGATCCTCCTGACTCAGCCTCCTTAGCTGGTATTACAGGCATATAACATCATCTTCATTAAATTAAAAACAACCTTCTTTGCATCAGTGTATTGTGGGAACCAAACCCAGGGGCTTACACATGCTAGGCACACATTCTACCAGTAAGCTACACCCCAGCCCTAAGAAAGGCAGTATGAGGGTCAGATATGTAGCTTAGTGGTGAGAGAGCTTGCTGAGCATAGGCAAAACCCTGAGTTCTATACCCAGCACTGAAAAATAATAATGACAACATCAAATACAGTGGGGGATGTGGAACAGGAACTCAAATTAATTGATGGTGGAATGTGTAATGGTTCAATTTTGAAACCAGTTTTGAGTTTTTTTCAAAATTAAATTTAACATCCTGATCCAGAAATTACACTCCCTGGTATTCACAAAATGGCTTTGAGGCCAGCCACATAGGTGCATACCTGTATTCCCAGCAACTCCAGAGACTGAGGCAATAGAATCACAAGTGTGAGGTCATCTTGGGCAACTTAGTGAAACTGTCCTAAAATAAAAATAAATGGCTAAGGAGGTAGCTTAGTACTAGAGTGACTCTGGAATCAATCTCCAGTACCATCAAGGGGGAAGAAAATTACTTTGAAAACAAATAGGCAGGTGTGGCAGCTCATGCCTGTAATCCCAGAGACTTGGGAGACAGACAGGATTGCAAGTTCCAGGTCAGCCTCAGCAACTTAATGAAAACTTGTCTCATGATAAAAAGGGTTGGGGATGCAGCTCAGTGGTAAAGCACCCCTGGGCTCAATCCCCAGGACAAGAAAAACATGTACAAATAAAAACCAGTCTGCATTCTTATATAGCAGCTCTTTTAAAATGGCCAGCCACTTTAATGAATCAACATGAACTGCAATAGTTGAAGCTGGGGCACATCCATTAATAGACCACTGTTCAGCAAGAGGCAGAAATGAACTCATATAAAAGATTTGAGTGAAGCTTACATGCATATGGCTGAGTCCAAGAAGCCAGAATGAGGAGGCTACACACTGTGTGGAGCCAATTAATGAGATGCTGGAAATGGCAAAACCAGAGAGATGGTAAACAGATTGGTTCTGACAGTGATGTGTCATGGGAAGGGAGTGGGATGAGTAAGGAAACAGAATGATGGAAGGATATACAAAGGGACTGTGTATATTATTTTTAAAAAATTACATAAAGACACTCATGGTGGTGCACATCTGTGCACTTAGGAGGCTGAGACAGGAGGATCATGAGTTTAAAGATAACCTCAGCAAAGGGAGGCACTAAGCAACTCAGTGAGACCCTGTCTTTAAATAAAATACAGAATAGGGCTGGGGATGTGATTCAGTGGCTGAGTAACCTCAAGTTCAATCCCCAGAACCCCCCCCCCCCGCCCCAAATGACATTAATTACTTTATTAAAATGCATCTTTATTAGGTGAAGTATGTGGTATATGGGGTAGTGACTGCACAAACAGGTCCTCACTGAACTGAGCTAAACTTCAGAAAACAGGCAGCTTCCCTACCAGCCCTGAAGCACCTAAACAAAACCCTACTCTAGCTCCCTGACCAAAAGGGCAAAGGCAAGAACTGGAGATATAGCTCAGTGGTAGAGTACTCCCTGAACCTGCATGAGACCTCGGTTCACATCACCAGCAGAGAAAATAATTAATAAATAAATAATAAAATTTTAAAAACCACAAAAGGGTAAAGGTAAACAGAAGCAAGGCAGCACGAGGATCTTTATTCAACAGCAGCTTAGAAGTGATGATGACTCTGTCTTCCAAGGATTTGCATTTCTCCTCATTCTACTGGTCTTCTTTCCCACATTTCTCACCTTTGCATACTGCACCTTGATATAAAAAAGGGCATCATCCTAAATATACTTATATACAACCTTTGCGGGCACAGTTTGGAGATGGAGTCGCACAGGACACTTGTAAAAGTGGGACAGCAGAGTCTCACTGTAGCCCACGAGGAAGTAGAACTTGTGTGCTGGCAGCTGCCTCAGGACCAGGGCACAGATCTCCACCTGGTTGGCCCGGCGCTTCAGGACCAGCTGGTCAGCCAGACAGCCTGGGAAAGTACCCAGCATGAACTTGCGTAGGAAAAAATCCTCCACCGTTCGCTCTGCAGCATGTTCTTCCCCATCCAGATTACCTGAAGAGAAGGCACCACAGCAGTCAGCCATATTGCCCAGGGAGCTGCCAAGAAGTCAGATCTAATATTTAAGAGCTTTGGGCATTCAATCCCACTCCTTGCCACAGTCTATTCCCTTTTCTTCCACTAATGGAATAACACATTAAAAGTAAAAAATACATTATCTTATTAATTCCCAAACCAATTCTGTGAAGCAAGTACTATTATCCTCATTTTACTGGGATTATAGGTATGAGCCACTATGCCTGGCTCCAGTCTTTCTTAACAGCTTTAAAGAAGCACGGGTCATCCTGTGGGCCAGTCAGATGATGCCAATACTTATAAAATTACAGACAGTAGCTTCTCAAGAGCTTGGACCACAGCTTCCATAAATGGGTTCTCAGTATAGGCCCTGGAAGCCCGAAGCCCTTACAGTACATGCTGAATCTGCACACACAAACCCAGGCCTCAAAACAAGAACAGGAACTTAAAAGGGTGGGAGACCAGAACCTGTATTTTATTTAATTATTTTCATTGTGCCGGGAATTAAGCCCAAGAACATATAAGTTTTCTAAAAGGGTGTGGTGACACCTGCCTGTAATTCCAGCAACTCAGGAGGCCCAGGCAGAAGGATCAAAGCCCTCCAGGGCAAGTTAGTAAGACTCTGTCTGGAAACAAAAAATCAAAAGGGCTGGGGATGTAGCTCAGTGGTAGAGCACCCCTGGGTTCAATCGCCAATACTCTAGCTTCATCCAAACATAAGTTGATAACCCTTATATGGAACAAAATACAGTTGACTCTCATTATTTCACAGTAGTTATGTTCCATAATGTCACTGTGAACACTGAGCTAGTGAATTCTGAAACAATGCTTATAGGAGGAGTACACTATTAGATTTGTGCAAGCCTCTGGTCAAAATATTTTCATTAACAGGTTAATACATAAGCTAGTTTCAGGTGCCCTTCTGTTTAAAAATACTTTAATATATATGGTTGATTAACATTTAACTTTCAGCCAAGAGCACTGTAACTTAGGCTTGAACAAAGCTTATCTAACACAACATTTTCTGTGTAAGGCACATCACAGTCTTGTGCTCAGAAGCACTAGACAGTAATTCAGGATCCTTTTAAACAGCAAAATCACAAACAAGGCACATTAATTTTTAAAATGTGTTGCTAGACTGTGATAAAGGGCACTTTTTACACTATGAAACTTGTGCTACCTCAATTGCAAAAAAACATAAGGGCATTGCTCTACCTGTGTCCCTAAATAACTTGAAAGTGATAGGGCATTGATTTTGAGGTCACAAATTTTAGTCAGTAGAAGAATACACATAAGTGCCAGGTGTGGTGGTGCCCACCCCTGAAATCCCAGCAGCTGGGGAGGCTGAGACAGGAGGATCTCAGGTTCCAAGCCAGCCTCAGCAACTTAACAGGCTGTAAGTAACCTAGTGAGACCTTGTCTCAAAATAAAAAATAAAAAGCTCTGTGTATGTGACCCAGTGGTTAAGTGCCCTGGTATGTATGTGTGTGTACATACATACACACATACACATACACATACACACACACACACACACACACACGAAGGAGAAGGAAAAAGAAGAAAACAAGAATTTACAGAATCTGTGAATAACAAGGATTGACTGTATATACTTGCAAAAAAAAAAAAAAAATCTGTGCTTCAGTGAAAAACTACATTATTTTGGGCATACTCTTCCCGGTTACAGATGCTATGGAGGCTTTACTCCTTTCATTGCCTCTGTTTTACATCTATGTAAATTACAAAAAAAGAAAAAACAAAACTGATAACAATGCAAAATCTTGTCTGAAGACATGCAAATAATTTCTGTTTAGTGGAGGCTCAACCAAGTTCCTGGGCCCATGGAAAAAGTTAGATTTATACTCATCTTCAACTTGATTTCAACAGCCAGATCTGTGTTTGCTTTTTTTGTGTCTCCTCTTAACTGGATTAACAGATTCCTGACACTGGCCTCAATGACCAAGTTAAACTTGTTCCTCTAGCTCACATGACAGTTGGACTGAGCGCTCCTCCTCCGGGAGAGCTGGGGTCTCCAGCTGAGGTCCCCTCACCTGTGTGCAACGACAGCCATCCCTTTCGGTGGGCGATGTAGTGTGGTGGGTGGGCCTCCTCGTAGGTCACGGGCTTGTCCCCCTTGCCCACGCGGACTCTGGCCGCCCGGTTCTAGGAGCAAAGGGCTCTTACTACGCCGCCCCGCCCCGAGTCCCGCCCACTGAGCCCCGCACCCGTCCGGCTTTTCCGAGGCTCGGCTCTCACCCCGGGCCCGCCACCCACTCCCGGTTCCCGCTATCGTCCAGGTCCCACTCCCACCCGGCCTGGAGCGCTCACCTTGGCGCAGACTGCGGAGGTGTGCAGGGCACGCCAGGCGCCCGGAAGTTCCCTACTCCACGGCACCACCTGTGGGGAAGGGGCGTGAGACCGAAACCAAGATGCCACCCGGACCCTCCAGCCCGTACCGCCCACTCACCCGTGGCCACAGGGCCAGAGCGCACACGGACGCCGCCATCTTGCGCCGAGCAGGGCCCAGGACGTGCCACTGTGCTGCACGGGCAGGGGGGGACAGCGCGGACGAGACCAAATTGCGCGCGGGGGCGTGCCTTGGGTGGCGGGAGAGGCGGGGCGGCCTCCGCGGAGAGGAGCACTACCTGGCGCCAGGTGCTGGTCTTTCGGGCTCACCCGGGTTACAGCCTCCTGGCCTTGATTGCTGGGTGTTAGATTTCTCATCCGGAAATTTGATGATGCAAACGTGAGCTTTCGCCCTCCAAGAACTCGCGGTAGGGAAGGTGATGGCGTCCTGAAAATGAAGAAAGGGGAAAACCCGCGCCGCCTCGCCCCCCGCCTCCATCTAGACTTCAGGACGTCCAGGTGCTAGAAATTAAACTGCGCGTTTCTCCAAAAGATCTTGTGAAATAAGCGGGGCGTGGGTGCTGGTGTATAGCTCAATGGTAGAACACCTGCTTAGCATGTGCAGGCCCTGCATTCAGTCCTCACACCGCAAGAAAACAAAACCTCCAAACTCTGGGCTTTTATCCACAAGGAAGAAACATGTTTTTGGTCAAAACTGTGCCCAGTTCTTGAAGGATGTGTTATGCAGAGGTTTGCCATTCATGATCATCTAATAGTGGCTACCCTAGGGGAGCGATTCTCCCCACCGCCTGCCACCAGCGCCCAAGTACTGGGCATTGCACTTTACCACTCAACTACATCCCAGCTTAAAAAAAAAGAAAAAGAAAAAATTTAAAACAGACTCTCACTGAGTTGCTAAGGCTGTCTTCTAACATGCCAACCTCCTGCCTCAGCCTCTTGAGTAGCTGGCATTCCGGGCATGTTCCACTTGCCACCAGTAAGAAGGGAAATTTTTAAGAAGCAAGGAAATGTATGGGGATATCCCAGGGCCTTAATATTCACACCAGAGGGGTGCCAATTTAATTGGTATCCGGTAATTATTTAATGTCAAAGGGGAAAATAGCAACACTTGGTATCTTATTTTAGAACTCACTACAGTAATGGAAAACACGTGGGCTCTTGTATAACAACCTTTGTACAAACTTCAGTATCAGTATCATTATCTATCAAATGGCTTATTTTTTTGCTAGTACTACTTCATAGAGCTATTAGGGTCAAAAGGATATTTAATAAATGATAACTGTTTGGGTTGTGTTAGGTTGAATGGTGTGAAGTTGCCAGTATTTGGCTGTTTAGGACCTGCATCTTTCATCCTAATGATGCTTGTACCCTGTCAAGGGAGGGAAGACTAGGTGATCATATATAAAGAGGGAAATGGAAACCAAGGTGGGAAGTGAGTTGCCCACAGTCACACTGGGGCAAAGACAGAAAGTGAGCAAGACTGGAGTCTCTTGGCTTCAGTCCAGTTGATTTCTGTGACCAAAATTCCTCTCTGGGATCTTGATTTTTAAAAATCCTTAATAAAATGAAAGGGTCTTTCATCCTCACCTCCCTAGGAATGTTTTATTCTTCATTTTTCCTACTGCAGCCTGTGTTGTCCTGAATATTGGATAAGAGCACAGACAGATGTGATGTTCTCCACAATCCACAATGCCTTGCAAACATAAGAATTCAGTTTTTCCTAAAGAATCCTTTTTAAATGATAGTCTTTTTTTCTTTTAAAGTTTTCATAAAGTTTGATGGTTTTACAATTTGATAAATTATATAAGTCTGCTCCAATGTGCCAGGGAACATAGGATTTAGCATTTGAACTACCTAGATCCAAATCCTGGATCCACCTCTTGGTTGTGTAATGTGGGTCATGACTGAACCATCCTGAGCCCAGGTTCCCTCATTGTAAAATGGGGACAATAATAGTTGTGAGGTTGGAGTGTAGCTCACTGATAGAGTATATGTTTAATATGTGTAAGACCCTGGGTTGAAACCTGAGCATCACCCCCAAAAAAATTTTTTTGTGTGAAAATTACACAGTTAAGATTTCTGGCAGCAGGAACAGCTTAGTGTTTTCTAGTGTTTTAAAGAGTCCCTGATAGCTATTCATCATTTTAGGAAGATAAATCCTGAATGAACTAGAAGGAATAGGGGAAGAACAGATTGTTACACTGAGTCCTGAATCACCACAGGCAAAGGTGACAAAGGCACAAGTACCTAGTGGGCCAAGGTACAGGTGCAGCAGGAGACAGGTTGACCAGATGAGAAGGACAGGAATGCTGTGCTTGGGAGCTCAGGTTTCTCTTCCAGGCAGTAGGCACAGTACAATCAGATTTATTTATTTTTCCTGATTCAAGCCATTTCCCCTTTCCTAAGGTGCCTCCTGGGAATTGTAAACCTATCTAGCAGTACAATGAACATTTCAGGGCAAAAATCCTATGGTTTAAACACACCATAACCTTCCCTTTGTTGATACAATGCTTTGCTGCAAAAAAAAAAAAAAAAAATTCAGCTGGTTCCTTGAGTGGGGGAGGGATCACATGACTTAATTTACATGATTAAAGTAACTTAAAATGACACTTTGTGTACATTAGTATGAACTGTGTTTAAAATCACCAAGGAAAACTTTTTAAAAATGTTTCTTGTAGATGGATACATTGCCTTTGGTTGTTGGGTTTTTTTAGTTGTCAATGAATATTTTTATTTATTGGTATGCAGTGCTGAGAATTGAACCCAGTGACTCATACATGCTAGGCAAGCACTTTACCACTGTGCTATGACCCCAGTCCCTTTATTTTTATATGGTGCTGAGGATCAAACCCAGTGCCTCACACCTGATAGGCAAGCAGTCCACTACTGAGCTACAACCCCAGTCCCACCAATGTTAATGGGAACATCTTTTTTTGTAATTTGACACACTGTTTTTCCCATCCATCTTGCTAAGGAGGCAGTATTTCTAGACTTCACAGATCAGAGGAAGGCCCCCAAATCACTTGAGATTACAGAATTAGCTCCTGTTTATAGAGCATATACTTGTGTCTTCTTCCAGGGTTCCATGGTTGGGCAAGGGCTCAAAGATACATTAGGATGGGTGTATGGTTTAGATGTGAGGTGTCCCCCCAAAGCTCATTTGTGAGACAATACAAGAAAACTTACATATGAAATGATTGGGTGATGAGAGTCTTAATCAATGCATTAATTCCCTAATAGGGATTAATTGGATGGTAACTGTAAGTAGGTGGAGTATGGCTGGAGGTGAGTCTTGGGGGTGTGCCTTTGGGGTTTATATTTTGTCTTGAGTGAAGGGAGTCTCTCTGCTTCCAGGTATCATGTTCTGAGCCACGCCAGTCTTCCACCATGATGTTCAGCCTTACCTCTGGCCCCAAAGAATGGAGTTGGCATTCCATGGACTAAGACATCTGGAAACATGTGCCTCCAAATAAACTTTTCCTCCTCTAATTGTTTTTGTCAGGTCTTCTGGTCACAGAAACAGCACAAAAGGGCCGACTAAAACTAATACCTCTTAGGTGATTCTGGTTTGCAGTAGGGTGGAGAATTAGTATCTTAAATTAGTTTATTTGAGGGACTCCCAAAACCTGTATCTGCAGAGACCTGTTTGGGGAAGACCATGGCACTGAGGGGACTTGTTACAGCCAGGCCTGCCACTCCTGGGCCACTAGGCAGAGAAAGGGCCTGTGGAGTGATCTGGACTTCCTGGAGATGGTCTGTCCAGCTGGGTCCAGCCACCCAGAGTGCTGAGAGGTGGACACATTATTCTTTGTAAACCTATTACTCCTGGTAATTCACTTACCAAGAATCCCAGGGGTTGTCTCTTCTGAGAAATAAATCAAACAACCACTGAAAAGCCATTACAAAGCACAACTGTAAATCCCAGTTACTTTAGAGGCTGAAGCCAAAGGATTCAAGGCCAGTGTGGGCAACTTAGTGAGACCCTGTCTCAAAATAAAATAAAAAGGTCCGAGGATGTAGCTCAAATGTAGAGCACTCCTACATTCAACTGCCAGCACTACAAAACAAAAACTAAACTAAACCAAAAAGAAGTGTCTCCTACCACAGATGGTCCATGATTCCTGTGAGCTCCCACTTCCACACATTCTCCCTCCATTGAGGGTCAGGGAAAAGGGTCTAGGTGCATGGGTTAGAACCAAGCTATAATTACTAGCTTTAGCTTTTGGGCTCTGAGAATGTCCACTCTCCTGGTATCAGAGCCAAGTGCAGTTAGAAAGACCCAGTACCACACCATGATCCTGGGTGAAATATCAGAACCCGGAGGGGCCAAACCTGGGCTTTGGAGATGGAATCTGCCTGAAGAAAGTTGAGACACAGGGCTGGAGCTGTAGCTCAGTGGTAGAGCGCTTGCCTAGCATGCATGAGTCACTGGGTTGGATCCTCAGCACCACATTAGGAAAAAAAAAAAAAAGCATTCTGACCATCTACAACTACAAAAAATAAAAAAGAAAGCCAAGACATGGCTAGGGATATAAGTACAGTGGAGATCACTTCCCTAGTAGGAACAAGGCCAATGAATTGGATCCCCAGTGGAAGGAAGAAAAGTGGGGAGGGAAGGAAGAGGAAGAGAAAGAGGAAGAAAGGTAGCTGGAAGAACAAACCTCATGTGTAGGGCAACTAAGATCTTCACCCAAGGTTCTCAGAATTTTGCTAAATCTGGACATAAAAATGAGCTTGGGGGGCTGGGGTTGTGGCTCAGTGGTAGAGCGCTTGCCTAGCACATGTGAGGCACTGGGTTCGATCCTCAGCACCACATTAAAAAAAAAATAAATAAAATGAGCTTGGAAGGGGGCTGGGTTATGGCTCAGTGGTAGAGCACTTACCTTGCATGTGTGAGGCACTGGGTTCAATCCTCAGCACCACATAAAAGTAAATGAATAAATAAAACAAAGGTATTATGTCCATCTACAACTAATTTTTTTTAAAATGAGCTTGAATGGGGAAACAATTAAAATGCTATAAAACAAGGACCAAGAGAGGATAGGCCCCTGACCCTGTCAAGTGGTGTGAATGAGGGAGGCTGGCCTCAGATACTTAAGTGAAAGAGAAGTGCCACCACAGCAAGCCAGGGCCAGCCAGGCAGGGGGAGGCATCAGCCGACAACAGCATGGAGGTAGCCACGGTGTGGCTGCTGTGGACTAAGCAGAATATCATGAACCAGGATCAAGGACAGCTTGGCTCTCTTCTGTGGCCCTGCCTCATCACTGCTTATAAAGCTGCACTCTGATGTATTTTGTTGGTCCTAGAAGAAATCAGATAGGATTAGGGCCAAAACCATTTTATTACTGACTCAAAAAGAGAAAGGATTTTTCTTTCCTGAGCTAATTCATCACATCTAAGGAGCTGGAGTAGCTACAGATCAGGTTTACATTGGTACAGACTACAAAACACCAGCCCTACCCAGTACTGTATTTAGTGAATGTAAGATAACATCAGTTACAAGATGCCATTTTGTATATTCTTAAGGAAGAAAGATGGTTACTTTTAAGATACATTGATACATTAATGATTCTTAATTTGGCATGTTGACATTTGAGACATGGCACTTGTTCACAGAATATTCCTCCAGAGCAGGCACTGTGTAAGCACTTTCCACTGTTAAGCAGGTGCTAGTGGGCAAACCAAGGCTTAGAGAAGCCAAGTAACCTTGCTCAAGGGTCAGTTAGGAGGAAGCAAGGACAAGATTCAGACCAGGCTGAGAATCCTGTGTGCTGTAACAGCACAGTCCATCTCAAGGGTCCTTTGTCTCAAATTCTCACAGGATCACCTAATGAGCAGCCTGCTGTTCTGCCCATGCTTCCCCTGAGTGATTCTCCCATTGCAAAGTTTGGCTATAAGACATGACCTCCCCAGTAGCCTCTTTGTAAGCTCTAGGCCTCTCAAATCCTAAAGGTGTTTCTTGAGGTGTGATGCAGATTGGCCTCTGGCTGTGGTAAACATCCAGAAATGAGAAGGGCAGACTGATACTTTGTGGTTGTAGCTCTAGAGCTACCAAACTAGTTTTGGGGATTATGTAAGTTTGAATCCTAGGAACAACCCTAACTTGAGGGTCTGAAGGTCAATCCCTTTTTCATAGTCATGGGCTTGAGACATCAACCCACCAAAAGGGCAAGGAGAACATGTAAGTGACTTCCTGAAAAAAGTCAGAGCTCCAGGGTGACCTCTTCTGTTCCTGCATCTCAGAGTAGCAATGATCTCTCACTTGACCCAAGTAGTTTCAGAATTCCTTCAAAGTGGTTCTGACCAAGGCTACCCCTGGCAGACTCTCTTGCTCCCAATCTGCTGACTGATCTTTTTCAAAATTTTAAATATTTTGTACAGTTGTTTTATAGGGGATGTACAGAATAACTTCCCTGATTATTAAGTGGTTAGTAATAATTTCCTTTAAATCCTGCATCCCTTTGAAAGGCTGATGAAAGCATGAGCTGCATACACTTAAGCCTCAGGCATTTAGATTGAATTTATCTTTGGACAATGGGTAGATCCTATATAAAGAATCCTTGATTTGTTAGAAGCCACTAGGGCTGACTTCCCTGTCATGGATTTTAGGAACAGCTTGAATCAATTTTTTTCTTTTAACCCAGTGCTGGGGATTGAATCTAGGGTCTTACTCATGCCAGGTAAATGCTTTATCACTGAACTACCTCCTTAGCACATACACCTCTCTCTCTCTCTCTCTCTTAATGGTAGTAGGGATTGAACTCAGGTCCTTGTGCATGTGAGACAAGCACTCTACCAACTGAGCTATATCCCCAGCCTAACCAGCTCAATCTTTTAAGGGAACGGATATTCAGCAATTCTTAAAGGAGTTTCCAGTGTTTTAACTTGAGGCCCAGGATTATCCTGGATGAAATTCCTACTATGTTGGAGAAGCCCCTGGGCAGCTTCTGCGGCTCTGGTGGAAAAAAAGGAAAGGCCTTGGTATTTCCAACTCAGCTAGCATCTTCTCCCCATCTCCACCCCCAGTACTGAGGATTGAACCCAGGGCCTCACACACTGAATGCAAACACTCTATCACTGAGCTACAACCCAAGGCTTTTTTGAGACAGGGTCTAAGTTGCAGCCTCACTATGGCTGGCCTGGAACTTTCAATCCTCCTGCCTCAGCCTTTCCAGTAGCTGGGATTACACCACCATGCCCAACTTATATGTTTCAGAAGGGAAAGTTTTTCCTTAACTGCTATCTACCTACTACATATAACTAGAAACTGCTCCCATATCACAGTGACAATAATTTGAAAGTGAAGAGATCAGCAGATGGAGCATACTGGGTCCCCCCAGCAAGCAAGGCAGACAGAAGAAGGATCAGGGAACTTCCATTTAAGAAAGGGTTCCAGACCAGAAGCCCTGGAGCTGAGGGCACCTTTGCTGAGTCTGGTAAAAGGACAAGAAACAGGGTAGGATTCCAGCTGGAGGATCAACAGGGCAGGAGTCCAAGGTCTCTGGTCAAGTATCAGGCCTAAATGGTGGCTAAGTGGGGCAGGGAAAGATGTGGAGAGGACACCATAAGGGTCAGGCTGGCTTGCCCTGGTGGCTCAGGGATCCTTAGATATTGTGGAGGTTAGGAAGAGCCAATGGATGAGTACACCACTGGTTCCTTTGTGTTCTGCCATGTAGGTGTACAGTCTGGGGCTTCCTCCATCACCTATAAAATGGGGCAAAGATGGAATTACCTAAGTGCTTGTGAAAGCACTTAATTCCTTTCTTAGTTAACAGCCAGAATTGCTCTTTGCTTAAAGAAAGGGAACAATTTCACATTTGTCATGTAGTTCTCCAGAGCTCTCCTTAGGCAGTTGTTGCATCCTCTCTGAGCACACAGAACAGTGAAGGTACAGAGAGGCAGAACCTGTGCACTACTATCATGTGAGCATTCATTCATTCGACAAACATTTATTAAGTGCCTACAGTGTGCCAGACCCTGGGGATACAGAGCTGGATGTTCTGTCCCTGCCCTCAAGGAGCTCACAGTCTGGGGGCAGACAGTAAACACATGAGTGACAATACGCCATGAAATGTTGAGGCAGAGGTATGACAAAAGTGCTGGGACACAACAGGGTTTCTGATGAACGCTTCCTGGGGGCAAGGGTCAGGGAAGGCTTCACAGATCAGTCCACATATCTGGTGCCATGGCAGTGTCTTCCACACATGGGCAGGATCACATCACCAAAACCTCAAATGCTGGTCCACAACCCTTAGGTTGGGTGGAAGCAAGACCTCCCCTATGCTTCCTCAGGACAACTCCTAACCTCAACTGGATGTCCCTGCCTGCTGGGGCCTACAGTGACTGAGGAAGCTGTTCCGAACTCCAGGGGCCAATGAAGGAGTAGCTGTCTATAGGACCAACCCTCAGGAACCTTGACAGGATTCAGGAAGATCAAATTACTGCTTGTGTCATCCCACCCAGGGCCTCTGATTTCCCCAGTGACATCT